CTTTTTAGGGACTGGACCGGGACCGGACCAGACGGACTTTTTAACATCCCTAGTTGTAATCATATATGAATTGCCACATGGTGATCATGAGGTTGCGCATGGGGAGTTTTCTTTCCAATTTCAACGCGCTTTCCACGGCCTACCTCTTGAAGATCGTTTTCTTGGTACTGGTGCAAAAAGTATGTGCTTTTGATCATGTAGATCCTACAAAAATAGAACCTGTTGACGCATTTTTAATTGGCCATTACTACGGAAATTTTTTATCATGTGTTGCGTAGCGACACATGAGTGGCATTAATTCCGATGAAAGAAATTTTCTGTTATAAATCGTATGCTCAATTGATATTATCCGACATATTATATAGCGTATGATTTTTGCGTGATATTTTTTACAATTGATTACTTAATTTCGGGACAAAAAGTATCAAAATCACATAATATAAAAACATGGGATAACTCCTATTAATCAAAAGTTTTTCGCAACAATCAATCAATTATTAACATTCAGACTGTTATATTTAGCTTGTTTTGAATCGGGACGAAAATCTGCCAGGCAGCCTGATGCTTCATTTATACCCAGTTGCTTGCCTAAACCATCACCTAATCCAAGTGATGCTCAGGTATGACGTATTTTTGACATATTAACATTGCAAGATATAATATACGAATCTCAATCTTGGTATACAGGGTAATCCCTGGCCAACTATTGTATGTGAAGTTGCCCGATCCCAAAGTCTTGCAAGCGTAATTCAGAAAGTCAATTCATTCTGGTTGGCCCCAAATCGTGTTGAGGATGTGATCGTGTTCAAACTGTGGCCATGGAATCACGGGACGGATACGAATGGGCGCCCCCTGCGTCGCTTAACAGTTCAGTAACATGTTGCAAATTCAATAATTCACTTCATTCCTATTCATTCAATATATCATCTCATATCCTTGATAGTGTTATAAATTTTGTCGCCGAGCAAGCATCCAAGCAAGTCATGCACAGGGAAGGTACCGGCCAGTTCAAACGGTAAGAATCAGCTCTAGAGTTCGAGACACGGACAAAAATTAGACATGCCTCCAAGAGCATGCCTGTGCCCCTGTGCTGACCCCTAATTAGCCTACTAAATAATAATTATCCATCTTTACCCCACAAAATTGGTTTTTTTTTTCAGCTCGAATTTGGGACCATTAATAAATATGGAGTGCCATACAATGGTTGTTCTGCTAGTGGAATGCGTACTTTGACGATTGCACGAGAATGCGCTTATGAAGGTTGTACTCCACCGTACCCACCATATCCGATTGCAGGGAATGTAGTCATCGATTTGTTTGATATCCAGCGGGCAGTTTTTAAAGCGCAAGGCATATAGTAGCAGAAATCGCAGTAGCATTATACTAAGTAGCAAAGTAATAGTTTGTCAAATTATGCAATTCTTTATTTCATGAACAAATAAAAGGCCCCAACTTGCAATTTTAAAAATATAGCCCTATTATAAATTCTTACAATATATAAGATTTTTTTTCTCTTATAATATCGATTAACATTTTAAGTTTTTATCAGGTATGTATGTGTATACCTAGAAGTTCAACAAACAGGATGCTTATGCCCAGTGTTGTACATGGACATATGTCCAAGCAAATTATTGGACATGGACAGTCCATGGACACAATGTCCAATGTCCATGTCCATGGACATGGACATATTTTTATATGTTCATGGATATGAACATCCATATTTTTATATGTCCATGTCCATGGACAGTCCATGTCCATGGACATGTCCATGTCCATTGACAACACTGCTTATGCCTATATTACAGTAGGACACCGGATAATAATAATTCTAAAAAGGTGGTAATATTAAACCAGACATTTTGGCCCAAACTTCTCTAAATTCTGATTAGAATAAAAATTAAATTTTAATTTTGGCCAGAATTTAGAAAAGTTTGGGCAAAAAATGTCTAGTTTTAGTAATACCAACTTTTTTAGAATTATCCGGGGTCCTATTACAGTATTAATTAAATATCATCGTTATCTGCCCAGCCCAGTGTGATGAAATTTCACCACTTATTAATCGGAAGCTTTTTTGCTCGTTCAAAATCTTTAATGTCATCTAACATTTTTTCAAATAGGTTTAAAGTTCGATTTAATACTTCGAAGCCATTTTTTTTGTTTGGGAAGATTATTAGACTTTTTAAGCACCTAAAGCATAAAATTAATAAATAAATTTATTTAAACATGGAAATATGATGAAAAAAAATTTTTTATACCTCATGAAGAATTTCTTAAAATTTCAAATTCGAATTGAATTTACCAGATCAATCGTTAAATTGACTTGTGTAAATGATTAAGGTTGATACTTGAATATTTTTCCATAAAGTTTTTTAGTTTCCATACTGGAGGATTTTGAAAATTGCATTGTACCTAAATTAATATAAGGCCAATTCTATTTTGACCCGGGTTAAAGTGACCCATCGTGTGATCATATGACCAAGAATTTCAAAACTTCGAGCGAAGATATCTCGACAACCCATCAAACCAATTTCAATAAACCTTTTTTATTGAATTTTATGGATTCATAAAATTCAAATAAAAAATTTTTCATCAAATTTGTCGAGAAATCTTCGCTCAAAGTTAAAGAAAAATCAAAACGCCTATAAAATAGAAGTTGCACCAAAATTTTTCTTTAACTTTTATCGAAGATATTTCGACAACCATCAAACCAAAATTGATAAAACTTTTTTTTTTTTGAATTCTATGGATTCATAGAATTTTAATAAAAAAATTTCATAGAATTAGTCAAGTGTTTGCCGATATATCTTCGCTCAAATTTAGAAAAAAAATCAACCGCTTATCAAAATAGAAGCTGCACTAAATTCTTTTTAAAGCTTTGATCGAAAATAACTTGACAGCCATCAAACTAAATTCGATAAAACTTTTTTTATTTGAATTTTATGAATTCATAGAATTTGAATAAAAAATTTTCATCGAATTTAGTCAGACGGTTGTCGAGATATCTTTGCTCAATGTTAGAAAAAATCAAACCGCCTATCAAAATACCATATTCTTTTAAAACTTTGAATGAAGGTATCTTGACAACTATCAAACCATTTCGTTAAACTTTGTATTGGAATTTTTTGGGTTCATAAAATTTGAATAAAAAAATTTTCATCGAATTTAATCAGGTGGTTGTCGAGATATATTCGCTCAAAGTTAGAGAAAAGTCAAAAATAGAAGCTATGCCAAAATTTTCTCTAATTTGAGCAAAGATATCTCGACAACCACTTGACTAAATTCGATGAAAATTTTTTTATTCAAATTTTATGAATCCGGGAAATTCAAATAAAAAAAGTATTATCGAATTTGGTTTGATGGGTGTCAAGATATCTTCGTTCAAAATTAGAGTATAATTTGGCGCAGCTTCTATTTTGTTAAGGAGTTTTGATTTTTCTTTAGCTTTGAGCGAAGATATCTCGATAACTACCTGACTAAATTCGATGGAATTTTTTTTATTCGAATTCTATGAATCAATAGGATTTAAATAAAAAGGGTTTATCAAATTTTATTTGATGGTTATCGAGATACTTTCGCTCAAGTTTTGAAAATTCTTAGGTATATGATCATGTGATGGGTCACTTTGACCCGGGTCAAAATAGAATTGGCCTTAATATAATATTAAATTTGGAAATTTTAAACCATAATATAATAACAATGAACTTGCAAAAGCTTCATCTATGTTTTTACTGAAATACCTACAACTATCTCAAGATCTATATACATATTGCTTTCTCCTTCAACATCTATAAGTTTTTCATAAACTATATATTCAAGCACTTCAGATTTTATAACATTTTCTTTTTGCATGTGAATATCATTTAAAATTTGATCCTCACGTTCCTGTTTTTTGCTTTCATTTACACGGATTGTATTACACTTTAAAAACATGATTTGTTATTATTCTGAAATGCAGTTTTGGTTTCCTGATGAACAAAGTTGTGTGTGTTTATTTTAGAAAATATTGTATTATGATACAGGTCACCCTCGTTAATATCAACTTCGTTAATATCAACCTAAGCCACAAAATCAAATTTTTAGAATTTTTATATATCAAAATTCCCTCATATATATCAACTTTAATATGATTAATCGTTAATATCACTATCAACATGATTTAAAACCAATTCAAACGGGTTGATATTAACGAGGGTCACCTGTATTCAAAGAAATAAAAATTTTCATTGTAAAAATTTGTTATTATTATTCTTATATAAATGCCGTTATTATTGTATAAACCATTGATTTTAATATCGGCAATAAATTTAAGCTCCGTTTACGTAACTGATTTTGGTGGTGATTCTAGGTGGGTCCATTAGATCTTGAAGTGGTCACATGAAAATTCCTAGCTTTAAAAATAAATAACTTTACGAAATTGTTTGGTAATAATATTTTAACAATGTACAACCATATTAACAAATTCTTGAAAAAAGTCTTTGGAAAGACAGCTTATGATGAACCAACCAATATTATCAACTGTTTTTCTACCTCATGTAATTTTATCACAAAATTTACCAAGTAGAATTACAGAACCATTTTCGACAATTATCAATGAAGCATATGCGACCGAAATTGCTTCATGGCTTGATAAAAAAGAAAGTATATATTCAGTAACAAATAATCTATACAAGTTTAAATTACTTCTTCGTGAAACTAAAGATGGTTTTACCAATGATTAATTTTGAAATTTGTGTGATAAAAAAATTCATCTGGTTGTAGTTATAAATATTAAAGGTACTGATAAAATTATAATTCCATTAGTTGGGATAAACCAGTTGGGGCTATACGTGCTTGCTTTAAATATTGCAATGATAGCTTTATTTTTTTTATTGAAAAATAGTATCAATCAAAATTCTATTTTTAAGTCATGTAAAAGTTTCAGGAAATGAATATTTTTTGTGCATATGAATATGGGCCAATTTTTGGTTCTGGCAGTGATTTAGTTATGCTAGATAGACGACGATGCTACAATTGTTATCCATCATATGAAAAATGAATTAGAAATGCATCTACATTTGAAAGTAATGGAGTTTCATATTTTTTCGTAGAAGAGTATGAATATTCAAGACTAGTAAAAAATCCTAAAGGTTTTATACTAACTAATTCACAAGATAAACAGCTCTATAAATATTGTGAATAACAATATATTTATTGTAGTTTAATTTGGTTCCATTAACTTGTTTATTTTGTTATCTTTTCTGATAACTTAGAAGGTATAAAAGTTAATAATAAGTTTGTAAGCTTTATCTGAATAAAAGTTAAATCTTTTTTTAATTCATGTATTTTTGTAAAGAATAATGTTATATAATGTACACAGATTTAATTTATTTATACAAGTAACTCTCGATATAAGAAACCTTTGATATAAGAAAGATTTTATAAGTCCCAATTGAAAATTTTATAATAAAAGCCTTTGATATAAGATCACGATATAAGAAGGATCTTTGTTGGACCGGAGACTTTCCTATTTCAAGAGCCAGTTGTATTAATAGAAATATTATAACATACGTTGCTTTTTGAAATGGTTACAAGACTGATAAATTAACACGTTTTAAATATATTTATTGAAGGCTAACAGCTAAGTAAATATATTGAGTTACTTAAATATTGACATACAGTACGTCGGGAAATGTTTCTGTGCGAACATTTATTGAGATATAGACTAATAGTTGTATTTCTAGAATAATATGAACTCAATAAAAATTACAAACTACTAACTACTTAAATTATAAATTTTTTTTTTGTTTGCCGATAATTTAAGTCATATTATTGTTTTACTCTATATTATTTTCATTAATGGTAATTGATGTAAAGTGTATTACAGTAGCATTGCTGTGCATCTCGCGTGAAAATGCTAATGTTACAGTAAATTATTTATATTATCTCGCGTGAGTTACACATCTCTAATCGCCACCATGTGAGTATTGCCGAAGGAAGGTCACACTTCGGGCTTTTAAATTTATAATCCTGATCACTATGCCAAGTCACGAGAGATTATTATTACTAATAGGTGTAAAAAGTAATACTTTTGCAATATAAGAGTAGATGTTTATGAAATATAAAATATAATTTAATCTATAGGTTTGAAATAGGCTGGGTTAGGCTAGGTATTTGTATGCTCGGGTCCAAGCTCAATAAAAATTTATATGCCTAACCTAACCCAGGAATTAAATGATCCGGTAAAATTAAGGTCATTTGCATATAAAATAATTTTATTGGTCGAATTGCTCATATAAAAAGTTATCAAACTTTATAATCAATAATCGTAGCTATATATATAAGTATTAAACACGTATTTATAAATTGAACCTTCGTA